ACTGTTCAGACAGAAAATTTTAACATTTTTCTTTGATCTAAGGGTCAGGCCACAACTGCTGTGCCTCTCGTATCAATCAGATCGGGGAACGGGCTGCACATTGCTGAAGAGCACCAGCAGTAATTGTTATTAATCAGCAGAGACCTGACTTGATACCTTTAGATGCCACCTGGGGAAGCGGAGGTTTTTTGTCTGGTCGCCTGCTAGTAGGCCACCAGGGTTGTACAACTTGGTGAAGATTGAGTTGGCTATGTTGAGTATGTTGTGTAGATATTTGCATTGGTAATAGTGATATTGATAGGTTTAGAACATAGTAGATTAAGGCCAATACTGAACCCCCTGATGAACTGAAGTTGTTTTCACTGAGTTTTACCTTGGACACATGAAGGGATCAGTGTGAAATTACAGACCAGAAAAATTAAACGTCGTATGTACTATCACTATCACATTTATGAACATTTATCAAGTAGCAGCTCACAAAATTTTCGCATGTGTTACCCTTGCTGCAAACTATGATGTAGCAGATATTAAGACAAGACCAGTGCAGTAAGATATATTTGAACGAATATCTGTTATTGTACATGTTCCATTCATAAAAGATAGGAAGATAAAGTCACCGAGATACTCAGTACATATTGATTACATGCCGTCTAGCATATTTGTATAGATTGCATGTGGTATCATCATTATCATGCAATTCTCTGTATGTCGTATGTTTTGATATGTGAAAATTTGGGTATGATTGATGTTCATGCTAATTGTTTAGTATTGTATTTGTCATATATAAGCAGTATCAGTTTTGAAAAAAAAATGTGATGCCCCTTAAAGAGAACAAAGAATGAGTAATTTACACTGTTTTTTTTTACTTCCTCATGTTCTTCTGTTTTCCTCAAGTCTCCCTCTTTCTCTCTTTCTCTCTCCCTCTCACCCACACACACACACCTTATATTGTGTATTTGTCAGATAAAACTTATCTTCAGTTTGTTAACCTTATTATACATTTATGAATACATGCATATATATAAGGAAATGAAATCCCCCAGTTAATTGGCGTGGAAGCCAGAGTGTTAATGGAACTTCACTTGATGTGTGAGAATAAATACAATCATTTATTGATTAATTTGTGAGCTCTCGCTCAAGATTACTCATGGCAGTGCTAAGGAGTTTTGTACTTTTTAAGAAATCTTTTCTTTTTGTAATAATGTCTTATTTTCCATTATGTTGGTAAATTTACATGACTGAGCAACCAGATTTTTTTTTTCATTTGGTGATGGAATTCTGTTTTCACTAATTATGAGGTTGATCATATTCATATAACATTTTTTACTAGTTACTTTCAAGTACTTGACACAGTCACCGAGGCCCAACAGTAGTTAGACTAACATAAAGTCATTCCTGATATTATTCCACTTTTTTTGAAAGAAATTAGATGGGGAATAGAATTACTATCTCAGTTAGGGCTTATTCATCTCTGATAGCCTGTCAAATCTCATCGTGGTGTTCTCTTAAATGTTGGTTTATAATTGCTGGGTTAGGTCTGGTCCACACTTAAAGATCAGGGCCAGTTTTTCAAAAGTAGGTAAATTTCAAAGTTGGGTCTTAAATAGTAGTCTTGGTAGTCTTATTTAGCCCAGGGTAAATTGGCAGCCTGTAAAAGTAAGAACATGTTATTGTTAACCTGTTTTTAAAAGGATAAAAATTGTCTTATTTGAGGGATAGGTCTGGTTCACACTTAAAGATCAGGGGTTGGGGTTGGCCTTCTGGGTACCAAATCAGAATTGGTTTATTGAAATGTGATGTGAACTCTTCCTTTGCTTTACTATTCATATAATCAAGCACTTGGGAGGCTGGTCATATGGTGCTTTGATAGCACTGGCAATATATTCAAATGAAATACTGCAATTGACCATTACTGATTTTCAATTAACATTCAGTTTGATAGTATTCATCATAAGCCCCAGTACTTCAAAGTAAACTTCATTGTAGTAAATGGGAAAATTGCTGCTTTTGAATTGCTTTGATCACTCACACATTGCCCAATTTGTTCAATTTGTTATTATCAGAAGTGAAGTGATAAGAAGACAGTTTAATTTATAATAATGATAATTCATGTTTCGAATAACAGATCAAATACAACATTTTCCAGGCTTTTTATGTACATTTATTTGCCCACATGAAGATCCAGAAGACTGAAAAAAAGAGGAAAAAGAAAAAAAAACAAGTTCAAAAGAATATTAAAAGGCCCATACACAAGAAATAGGGTTTTCATTTTCTCTCTTTTGTCTCTTTAGAAACTGTTTATTTATTTATTTATTTATTTTAATACATGGTTTGTCAGGGAAAAGGAGATATATTTGCCTTTAGTTTTCCATGAAACAACATGCAGCATGCTGCTAGAACTAAATGTGTATTTGTATCAACTTGCACTGTACATCCCCCTATGGTAATAATGCTGTTAGCACACAGGCCAATAACCAGCAATTTCAAGGGTCGGGGGGGGGGGGGGGAAGTTCTATTTCTGATAAAGTGAACTTATCACTTTGTGCGTACCTAGATCAATTTTAACCCAGAGCACACCTTTTTTCTGGCAAAAAGGATAGTTTGTTTGACCCCCCCTTCCCCTGCCCCCTCTCTCCTTCTCTCTCTCTCTCTCTCCCCCTTTGGCTACAGGCCTGGCATGAAGCATTTATTGGTTACCCCAGCTGAGATGCTAGATTTCTAGGGGGTCAGGAGGAGGAAAGGAGGTTATCTATACTAGAGGCTAGCTGAGTGATAACATTAATTCCATGCAAAAATATTCACTGGACAGAGATGATAAAAATGTACAGAATTAGCAAGAGACATATCTGTGAATATCTTGTGAAAAGTCAATCGATGGCCCTGGCGGATTGTAGGAAGGAAGTCAAGTTGAAGTGATGTTGTGACTCCATTGATGATATTTACTCTTAATAAACATCTTACAGAGGTTACAAGAAATGTACAAATAGTAAAAAAAAAAAACTTCTACAAAAAAAGAGAGAAAAAAAACAGGCAAATGGAGTGCATGGTACAACAGTGTGACATTCTTAACAAATGAAGTGATCTAAACTTGTACTGGGAACAGGTATTTAGTACATGTACCCCCAGGCACTAGTGGCTTTACATGGTTAATAACATGTTTCTTCAGTTACTTGCTCAGAGCTTCTTGCAGAAATTCCTAGAGTTTCAGATTTCTGCTAGGATAAGACTTGCTATGAGTTAGAGGGCTCACCTGTGGTCTCAGGACCAAACACTACATGTACATGTGGAAATTCACACAGTAAAACGAAGGTCTGCAAATAGAGGCTGACTTTTGCTTTATTGCCACTCGCTTTACTTCCTCTATTTCCTTCTCTCTCACACACACATGCTCATACACACACACATGCACATACACACACACATGCACACACACACACATGCACATGCACACACACTCTTTTTTATCTCCATTTCCTTCTTTTTCATAATTTCTTTCCTCTTCGAGTCTTTTTTTACTCCCCCCCCCCATCTCTCACACTCCATCTCCATTCAACCATACACTTCTACAGCCATCAATTCTGTGCATTCTCCATCATTACTGTGTATTGTTCACTTAAACATGCCATAGTTAATCATCAACATCATTACTTTCAAACCGTGATGCAGTGATGAGCAATCATTACATTACATTCACAAGAAAATTATTGATGACAATAACACATCAACTTCAACTGCATAGGACCAACAATCAATTTTGGTTCTGGAAAAGGGTGACTAGTATTTTGGCAAGCTTTGAATGCAATGTGCCTGAAAGAAAGTGTCTGTATAACAAAGCACTGACAAAACCATGATAGAAATCAACATCAGAACATTTAGATTTACCAGTAACAATTAATATTTTTGAAACAGGAATAAGGATTATATATAATTTGTAGACTCAGAGAGTTTTATTTGGAATCATCCTTTTCCTTATCAGTTTTTACTTACTTATCTACTAAATCGTATTCTATTACTTAAAGCCTGTCTTTCTTGGCTTATCTTTGTCATTTTTGTTTTTGCTTCTATTTAGTACCTACTGAAAATTAGACATTGCAGTCACTGACAGGCAATAAACAACGTGGAAAAATTTTAACCAATTTCCAATTTGTAGTGGGTTTTGTTTACTTGTATTTTCTGATAGGTCATGCTACCATAATACTTACTTCACTTATTATTAAAGAATATGGATCACATTTTTTGCAAATGTTTGACAGAAATATAGCACTGTTGATTAATCAAGGAAGCAGCACAAGTCCCATGAATAATAATAGAACAATGAGACTGCAGAGGAGACAGCCTGTGCTGTTGTAATTGACAGTGTATTAGGGAAATTGGATGGAAACAAACCCCAGTGACGGGTCGTGTCTCATTGCTTTCACTTTCTGTTAAATCATGGATTAAGTCTTGTGGTTTCTGAAGCTGCAATATTAATACGCATAGATGTTAGCTGAATCCTCAAGGTCTTCCCATTATTTTGATTTTCTTGTGTTTGAGTGTAAATCTCTTTCCAAATTGTTTAAGAAGTGAATTGTTGTGTTCAAAGAAACTGAAAATTATTTAATATTTTACCAGTGATTTTGCAATTAAGGTTTGATGAGATTGTTACAATTAAACTGAAATAAAGTTAATGATGCATACTGCTTTGGAAGAGTTTTATTTTATCTTATTAAATGTACAAAGTACTTGAAAATATGTATACTTAACATTACTAGTAATCATTGGTTTTTATATAAAGATAAATATCATTCAGCTCAAATGAAATTATTTGCCATTGTGAGTCTAGTCTTGTTTCATCGAATTTTATCTGGTGTTAAGAGTTGAATTTAAGGCACCAATTGAAATATTATGTATATTGATGATAGACTTAATTTTCCATTTGCATTTTAAATTATTCTGTAAGTTTGGTTTATGTGACTTAGCTTATTTCACAGCAATTTTATTTTATCGTCCTATATTTTCAGTTTACATGGAAGGCGCAGACTGTGGGGACACAAAATACATAGGGGGCGCCACAGTATATTCCCACATCAACCCACAGACAGAAACGTATTACAGGGACAATATCGAGTGCCGCCTGGTGTTTAAAGCAGAAAACGAAGATTGGAAAATCATGATGCAAGTGGTTGAGTTAGACATTCCAGATCGGAGTTTACGATCCGTTTGTAATGATGCCCTATACGTGTATGATTCAGCGCGAATATATAATCCCATGGTGAGTGACGGAAAGACAAAAAAAAAAATCTCTGAGTAAACAGAATTATGGTCTGGATGAAAAATAAAGATTTAGTAAATCTTGGCTTCTAAGGATGCATTCACAATAAAACTATCATACTAGGTAGTTTGAAATAGTTTTGCCAGGACTGTTGCTGAATGCAATCGGGTTAATAAGCTAACAAATATTAAAGGTTCCTCCTAGCATTGAGTAAAATACAGAAAAGCTAGTGATTATAGAAATTCCTTGAAAACAAGAGCAGGCTTGTTAATCTGTTGATTTGATTGCATTCAGCAAGAGCCCCTGCGCAGTTAGTTTAAGCTCCCTTGTGCAATAATAAATTGTGAATGCACCCTTAAATGTTCTGTTGCAGAATGTTTGGATAAATTGTTGGCGTAGTTATTGCTTATAAGCATTTGCCATCTTCATCATAAAGTTGGTAGAATTTTTTGTTGTGTTTGAAAATCGAATTGCTATTATTTAATTGTAAATGTGTTGTTAACTCCTTTCTGTTGCCCTCCTTATTGTATATATCATGTTTTTTCCTTTGTCATCCCTCGTGTTTTGCATCGTCTCCTTCCTTCCAAGTCAGTTACTTCTTGCTACTATTATTTCCTCTTTTTATTCCATCTGTTCCTCTACCCTACTTCTTTGTCTCTCCTTTTACCCATATTTTTTCCTTTCTTTCTTTCTTTCTTTCTTTCTTTCTTTCTTTCTTTCAGAACCTCTATTCTCTTTGCCTTTTATTTTTTCATATCGTTCTTTTTTCACTGATTACCACTCCAGTGAAATGAATAGGAAAACATGGCTCTGTTTAGACAGAAGAGAAAAAAATCAATTATCTCCTTGATCTTTTTGTGTAAAATTTCAAAGAAAACACAACTTGTGGTGTGCAGTTGACCTGTGTATAGCTTTAACTAAGGATCTGTTCACATTAGTATAAATTGTTATATACTAGAAGTACAGTTACAGTTTCCATTACAAAGGCTTCTGACAAGCAGATCATTTCCCAATTGAGTGCACTCCACTACAAACAAGGAGGACATTTTTTTCCTACACATCAAGCTGTACACCTATCAACTTGATTGCAATTAACCTTTTTGACCTAGCAATTATTTTTTCTTTTCATTTTTTCATGTTTTCCCCTCTTTAAGTTTTCTCCTGCATTCCTTCAATTATTCTCTCCTTTCTTCTTTCTTAGCAACCTGAGGTAGGCAGGCTATGCGAACTTTTCGATACGAAATAACTTCCACATCTTAGCTAGCCATCGTAATCCTGTCACTTCTCCTCCCTGAAGTCTGATGAGAGTGGACCCCTGAAGTGCGACTTAGTGCACTCGGGAGCCTAATTAGCCCCTAGTGAAATTGTATGCCGCAATTTGTTGTTTCAAGTAATTCGACAGATTTCCTCTTGTTTCAGGTGGAGGCTGGGTCCCACGTGGGCCTCTGTGGGAAAACTCTACCTCGTGTCATGGTGTCCTCAGGGCCCTATCTTACCATTCACTTTAGGTGGGTGATAGCCTTGAATGGTTTTTTTTTTTTTTTGGCTGACTGCTGAGATGGTCACTTTGTAGATTAGAAAATTAAAGGGAGTTCATTGATGTTGTTTTAATGGTCTAGATGTTGTGTTATATAAGAGAAAGTTTAGGAGCAAGATTTTGATCATACAATCACTAAAAATGTGTATGCATACTGAACCATCTTTAAAATGACAGTGTATGAAGCCTTTCACTGTTCCTGGAAAGTTTTATATTTGGTTTTTGAAATGTCAAAATTATATGTAGTTATCTTTGCTCATACTTAAGTATGATTGCTCCAACAAGAAAGCTGACATTTTTATTCTGTGGATATTTTATAGATATGGTAAGTCAGTTCTGGGTCATTCTACAAAACAAGTGAACATTTTAGTTACATGTATATCATTGATGCAAACATTTTGTGTAATATTTGCATGTTTTTGGCTTGCCTTTCTATTTCTCTGTTGGATGCTATAGTGCCCTCCAATATGTAAAGAATTCAACATTTATTAAAAAGTGACACAAAACAGTTAAGCAAACATTACACAAAATGTGTGTGTATTCACTTTATTTTGTGGAATGACCCAAGCTTCTACGAAAAAATTCTTCTTTAATCGGATTTCTTTATAGAGAAACGATGGCTTATAGTTACAAATTAAAGCTTAAAGCATTTCCACCACAGATAAATACACCACTGTTTAATTTAGTGGAACAAACCCCTTACCTTTGAGCCCTCCGTGAACCTTTCCTCCTGGGAAACTGAACATGTTCAACTTTCAATTAAATCAGAAGTTTTTTATGCAGAAGATGGGGTTCTTTTGCACCATCGGATAGATGAAGTCTGTCATAGTAATTAATGGAATAGAAAGTTAGGGGCAAAGAAGTTGGGTGTCCATGCTAAGGGCCATGTGCAGAAGAGTATTGGTTGGGAACATGGATTATTTGAATTTGTAGGGTGCATGGGGTTGTCACGAGGTAGACAGACATCTCTTTGAACAGTCAAATTCATTAGTATCACAGGTAAATTCATTGAAGTTCAGCTGTTTAAATAATCTTCCTAACCACATATTTCCCTGTATATTGGTCTTATTGATGAGTTCAGTTTGAGTATTTAAAGTAGTGACACAATGTTTATTTACTTCATCAGTTCATATTTGTTCTTGATGATGATGGGTTTGATAGATTCCGTTGCTCTTTACCTGGTAACTGTTTTCACTTCTTTGTGATACAGTAGCATCTTGTCTGATGTCATTTACATTCCACTAATTTTGCCATTTATTATTCTTAAAAGACTGTTGAAGTTGAAATCATTAGTTAGAAGTCCGGAGACAGGGAAGTTACATAATAGCTTTCGGCAATTATTAATTGCTTTTAGAATATAGTTGAAGTTGAAAGTATTAATTTAGTAAGTTAATTGCCTAAATGTTGAGTATGTTCAGCTTTTGTAGTAGCTTGCAGCAATTTTATATCAAGGAAGATTTGGGTGTGTTTTAAACCATTTTCTTTTTCATTCTGAAACTACGTTTTCTGTTGGATAATAGTAGAGATTTATGACAAATCTTCATGTCATATAGTGAACCTGTTACACACATTTAAAGCATAGGTTATTTGTTAACTGTTGTTGTTCTCTAACTGATATTATAAAGACTAAATCTAATATTCCCATGCATACTGAAACCTTTAATGGGGATTGCACTGTAAGAGTGACAATAGTAGTTTCCATCATTAGCAACTTGAGGTATACTCACCAGCCGATGGCGGTAGTTGATATGACTATTTTACATGTGTGTGTGAAAAGATAAAGAAAAAAAAAACAACAACTTTCCAACAAAAAAGCTTTTATATTAGATCAAACATGGGTTTTCATTTCAGGGCTTTGATGGTGATAAACTAAATGGTATTCATAATTCATCAGCAGCATGGGGTGAATATTGTCATGTACCACTGTTACAGTGCAGAACAGTTGCATACCATACACAGTCAGTAATAGGACCCAAAGAGTGAAAACCATGAACGTTGATTACAAAGGATTTTATAACACCTAAAACACTTTTTTTAATGTGGAAAAACTGAAAATAGTACACAGTAGGATCCAAAGATAGAAAAGCACTAAAACTGACTGAAAAGAGGATTAAAAAAAAAATTGTTAAAACCATTTGATCTGTGTTGTGCAAATATTTTCCATTTTCTGTTGCCAAAACCAAAATACAGGTATTTCAAACTAGTATTACAAAATATTTATGCAGTATCTTTGCCTTCATGCATCCTCAGAGGCTTGTTTACCTAATATTCATGAATTGCACCTTTCAGTAGTGAACTACTGCCTGTGATCTTTAACATTAGTTAAACTAGTTTTTTAAAAAAACCTTGCAATATATTTACATAATGTAGCTTGTGCCTTGATAGTGGCTCAAGGAATCACAGCAACCTTGTATTAATAGCAACTTTTAGTACAAATGAGCAGGGTTAGGTTTGTGTAATCTTTAACACCAGTTTTGACTAATGGAGACTGTCACTTGACATACATCCAGTACATTAGAGGTGAAACACGCACAGCTTGAGGTTGACAAATTGTGATGGATGTCAGCGATTAGCCGAAGCAAAGCCGAATTTAATGACTTCCAGGGAAGGCTGTTTAAAGGCCACTTCATGTCAGCTATCCTGCCTTTCTGTTCCTGAAGGTGTGGGCAGAGGACCAAATCAAGTTACTACTGATTAAGCCACTGTTTAGATGTCTGAGATGCAGTGGTACATCTCTGCACAGTACATTTCAAACGTTGCAAATTTGGTAAAGGGGTAAATTGACATAGGGTTAAGGGGGGGGGGGGTAGGCTACAGGTGTTTTTGGTAGGCGGTTTGACTATGGGGTAAGGGGATTAAGCTATAGATACTATTGGGAAGGGGTGAGTAAATATGAGTAAGAGAGTAGACTGCACTTTAGAAGTTGACTTTAGCGAGATATACATAAAGAAAGAAACATTTCAACTGATTTGAAGAAAAAATAATTGTAATTTTATTTATTTATTTATGTATTTATTTATTTATTTATTTATTTTTAAATCCTGTGACCCTGGCAACATTGCTGCCCCTATTCCTTCTTATGATTCTGGGAAATAATATGGTTATCAATGGTGCTAACATACCCTGTTATACTAATCCCTTTGAGGGATCAATACCTCTCTATAAAACTCCACCATGACCATCCTGTGTCCCCAAGCAGAGAATAAAAGAGAACATAACAAAAAGTGGTGTAAATCCATTTGGTCTCAATCTCTAAAATATTGATTGTCAAAAGCTGTAAAAAAAAAGGAAAACTCCCCAAAGGAATACAGACCAATCATTTCTGCTATTTGTCTCTGCTCCCAGAACACCAAAAGGTTTTTTAGCTGCACTATCTGTACAATGAAACTAGGCTGCTAATTTCAATCATGAATCACTATTTGTGCTGAGAATTTCACTCCTGTTTGATTCGTGATTAAGCACCAGATCCAAGATCCGAGATCCATCCCGATGGCAGATGGCCCAACAAGTCCATAATGGGCTCTAAAGAGCAGAGAGGCTTTGGATGTTGTGGTTGAACTGTCTGGTGCAATTACTAAGCAGAGGTTAACAATCTGCTTACAGTTTTGACACCAAATAGCTTGCAAACCGACTGTGGGCAAAATACCAATAACTCAACTTACTGTGTTTGTTAAGTTTTTGTCAGTTATTTTAGTAAACTGAATTATGAAGATTTGGATTTTGTGGCCAATATTCCCAAAATCTCTTCTATTTTTCACTACCAGCCCAGTTTATTCAAGATGTTTTCTTTTATAACCTCACTTCCTATTGTTTCGACCAATCAAAATTAAACTGGTAAACCAACTCTGTTGACCACAGGGATCTGGCTAGGTGGCATTTTTTCATAATAGTCCAGCTATTAAGTTGTCCATCTCTCAGTGTTTCTGTACAGATGAGTATAAGTCCCATTCCCATATCTAGATTGATCTAACGGAATCGATCCATCTCCAAGGGGATTCTAACTAAATTGCATTCAGCTTAAGCAGCTCTGATGTCTGGCACTCCTATTGAAGCTGTAAGGTGGTAATTAACTATCGTTTAGCAGCTTAAGTAGGCGTGCCAGACATTTAAGCCAGTTTATCTGAATGCAATTTAGCAAGAATCCCCATGGAGATGGACCGATCCGGCTAGATCAATCTAGGTATGGGAATGGGATATACAGCACAGTGTCAAAAAAGGGCCTATAGCCATTTCCTTTCCAGTCAGTATCTGTTTTGGTGGGCATGAACCCTTATTCTCCTGCACATACATATTGATTTGAACTCAACAAATATTTGCATCTCAAAAATAGATATCTGTTACATTTCAGTTGTATGAGGAACTAGTACACATGCTTTATTTTCTACTTAAATAACCCAATGTCTATCTTTACTGGAGACTCTTTCTACCACTACAAAATTGGCCAAAGGACTTCATTCACTAATTTTGTAACGGCCGCTTGGATGGCCACTGGAAAAAGTGTGCAAACATCAGTAAAAGTAGACTTGAGTGATCTATACAAAGATGGTCACAGGTCACAGTACTGTAGCAGTTTCAGTGACTTTGTTTTAAACATCCATAATGGTATACCCTCTTTAACTTTAAATTTTATGGGGTTGCATGTTACATGCAGTGATGAGAAAGTTAATTCATGAGGCTGTCATATAAACACAAAAATATGTAATAAAAAAGAAAAAAAAAACGAGGTAAGAATGATTATTTCCTGTATATATGTAATACAAAGGCAAACAAACAAGGAACCTTTGTGGATCATTTTTAGTTTGGTACACTGCATTTTGCTGACAAAAATCTTGATAATCTTATCCTTCTGATGTTTTTACATAAATAAATGTTTGTATCATATTGCTTTATATACAATAGTAGTTTAGATCATGGCTAAGTAATTTTTTATCTATTTATGACTGGTCTTCATATTCGTTTTCTTTATAAGGACTGACAGTGGTGGACCTAAAGGAAAAGGATTCAAGTTGGTAGTCACAGCCTTCAGTGATGGTAAGTAAATTATAATGGGAATGGTTAAGGGGGAGGTGTGGGGGGGGGGTCACCGTTTGAGAGCAGCCAGGGCAACATGACTCATAGTAACACTAAGGTTAAGACATACAGGTAATCTTTAGATCTGTTGGATAAGGACTAGCAAATTGATTTATCAAGATGCAGGCAGGTACTCGAGCTTGCATGCCATGTAGGAAAAAATCTGGAACATACTGTAGTACTCTCTCTCTCTCTCTCTCTCTCTCTCTCTCTCTCTCTCTCGCTCTCTCTCTCTCTCTCTCTCTCACACACACACACCCACACATACACACACAGAGAGAGAGAGAGAGAGAGAGAGAGAGAGAGAGAGAGAACATTGTATCAGCTATCTTGAACAGCTAGTATCCATTAAAACCTAAAGTAACTTAGTCCAGGTAAAATCAGGTAAGCAGATTGACACTTAAGGCAAGATCAATAAATGATCCATGCACTGTAAATGTGCTCCTTGGTGAGATCTGGGCACTAGTACATGCACTTAACAGTAGTTTGCACACCTGGGTATTATTGCATGTGCAATGTACATGTACCAATATGAGTTAAGGCATTAACACATATTCTCTGTGCATTTTAGTATCAGTTTCCACATGGTTTACAGGTCATGTTCTATTGTTACAGGTAACACGTATCACATAACATCTAAACACAAATGCGTACACACATGTAATTGGAGTTTTAGTGATGCAAAATATTTTTTCAGAAATGTGGCATTATATATATAGGAATGCATCAATTTAATAGTGAATGATTGTAATATTTTCTTAATAGCAAAGTTGAACATTTTACCTTTTGTCTTTTTAATTATTTACTATATGCAGTCAAAGATTGACATTAGTCACTACAACTTCATAGCTTAAATGCTACTAAGTTAAATAATTACATGTTGTAAATCACAATGACAAAAAGTAGGATCATAGCTTTTAGAAATTTTACAAAATCTTTGCTTCTCTTTTCAAATTAATTCAGTTTCCATGCCTTGGTCACCAGGTGTCGTTACTGGTACTTCACTTTCTGGGAATTGTAAGCTGTGTTCTTATTAATAGCAGTTGCCATGCTGACCTAGCACACTTTGTAAAATGACACCAGTTTGGCGCCAGTGGAAGATTTTTATTCAGTGGAAAGCTGAGCAACTAATTAACTGGAATATCAGTGTTTCATGTGATGCTCCAGTGTCTCCTATTATCCTCTAAAAGAGAACAAAATCAATGACGATAGGCTCATCTTCTTGACTTAAGTGTGAGGAGATTATCGAGGGGAAGTCTTGATATAAAATGAAAAAGCTCACAGTTCCTGTTCATTTAATATGTAGCACAGCCAACTGGTATACGATAATTACATATCAGAGGTTGGTGATAAGTTTCTGATTGTTTTAATGTTTAAATTTTTGTATTATAACCACCTCCCTCTCCCCCTAGCTCACATCATCCAAACGCCTTTTAAACAGATTTATTTCTATAATAAAGATGAACAAATATACAAAATATATAAATTTGAAAGCAGGCGGCAAGTCGCCGCAGCATTATGTGCTCGCCTGCGTTATTTTAATTAATGAATTAATAATGATTATATAAAGGTAATAATAATTGTAATACCAATAATAATACTAATATTAATATTAATGAGAGCAACAGGGTAGGGGGGATATATCCAAACACTTTGTCTTTACCTTGTATAATTCTATGGTACGTCGACAAAAAAATATGGTTACTCATGAATAAAGTCTCACAAAATTGCTTAAATTGAAGCATGGATGTTTTAAGCTAAATGGTTTACAGTCTAATTTATTATAAATTGTGTGTTATAAATTGGGTAATTTATTTATTTATTTATTTATCAATGTTTTTTTTTTTTAATTTTTCCTTCCCCTTGGTTCAGAAATCGAGATAATTGGGGAGATTTTGTTTATATGTTATTTTAGTTGAAGGTTGGTTTAAAGTAATAAATCCTTGTGCCAGTGTCCTAATACTTTAATGCCATATTAAAATGTCTTGTCCCATAAGAATAAATAAGACACTCAGCATTATTTGATATCATAACGCACATTGAACCTTATGTTGCTGGAATTATATTCTCATAGTCATTCTCTCTCTCTCTCTCTCTCTCTCTCTCTCTCTCTCTCTCTCTCTCTCTCTCTCTCTGACAGTAATTTTGTTAAATATCCTCTTAATTCTCTCGTGATTTGACCACCGTTAGTTGAAGGAAATGGAAACTGACAAATGTTGACAATCCCAGATGGGACACAAAGACTACAGAGGTCTGTGAAGTGAGTACATGCCACTGTGGCAGGCCACACAGTCATTTCCATCAGATAGAAAACCAATTTGCAAAATAAGACGAAAGATTTTAGTCTGATTCAGCGACAGTGCGATCAGATCAGTTAATTAAGAATAATTGCAACCAGGGACCTTATTTGTAAATTTGCTGTTATGGATATTTATGGTATCGTAGCATTTCAATCAAATTGTTTTCATTGTAGATTTTTCTTTGAGGGAATCAAAGCAAGTATATTCTTTTCTCATAACTGCGGGAAGAGGAAGGGCGGTGAATGTAAAACTGCCATAGTTATTTCCATTCAATATCAGCTATGTTTTAATATCTTAAAAGACACTTTCTGTCTAGAAGTCTGTAGCTGATGGTGCGGGACTCATGAAAGGAGCCCAGGAGTTGAGCTGTGATTGAAAGTTGCAATATCTTTCTGGGTAACTTAACAATGGGTTGTAGTGAGGGGGAGGGAAGAGCTGGGACTTACACCCCATTTCCATAGATTAGATCGACCTATTTTAGATCGACCTAACTCCCTGGGGGTTCACGCTAAATAGCTGTCAGCCGGGCGGACACGAAAGTTAATTACCCCTTTCAGCTTGTAGTAGGCGGGGACGGACACTTAAGGGGGATTATCTGACAGTAATCTAGTGAGACTCCCCGCGGTGATAGATCGATCTAAAGTTGTGGGAATAGAGCCTAAGACCCCATTCTCACAGATTTTAGATCGATCTATCCCTGTGGGGAGTCTCACTAGATTACTGTCAGCTTAGCCAACTTAAATATCTGTCCTGCCTACTAAAAGCTTTAAGGGGGTAATTAACTACCGTGCGCGCTCGGCTGACAGCAATTTAACGTAAACCCCCAGGGAGTTAGGTCGATCTAGATGGATCAATCTAAATCTATGGGAATGCACTCTTACAGAGAAGGGATTTATAACTTGTTCATCTGAACAGCTTCTGAAGCAGAGTTCCTCCCAGGCTTACATACTTGGAAAGAGAAAGAAATGGGACAGCCCCTGGAAGGCAAGAATATAAGACCTTGATATCTATGTAACCAAATATTCTCAAAGTAGCGACATTGATATGCCTTAAAGAAATAATGCATTGCAATATTATATCTCCATTTTGTAGCATAATTTGAAATGGGATGTGATTTGTGGAATAATGGAATTGAACCAAATTAAATCACTTTTCTCTTGGGATTGGTTTACTTTAATGCTTTGTGTTGCAAAAACAGAAAGAAAACTTTCAAAGATCCCAGTTCATCACAATATAACACACTAAAACTTTTGTTGTCCCTATTACAAACTGTGTTTCATTTCTGCCATATGTCTTTAAAATAAATTTACACAATCACGGTGCCTATCAATAATACATGCAGCCATTGTTCTCATTATACAAGATTACATCAATTTGTGATTCCCATCGCTTCCATTTGTCAATAAAGAGCAGCTTCTAAAGGTCCAAGTGTGTGTCAACATATTGAGCACCTACTGGTGAACACGGTATTGTCAGTGTATGACAGGTGCCTTGAAAGGTGATTATGTGCTCAGCATGCTTACATAAGAACAGATATATGGTGTCTGCATTTCTATCCAAGTGTGCAGTCTTGTTAATAAGCTAGAGGCTTTTGTTTTCTAATTAAGGCTTTAAAAGGATTGCCACTGATCAGGTTAAAGAAAAAAACTTTTTAACATTCTGTGTTCCACATTATTATATATTTTAGTTACAACAAAATAATTTATATTGCTTTTCTTATATCTATTCAACAGTCTTCAACCTAATAGAAGCAGAAGTCCTTATATTGCAGAATTTTTTCATGGGTTTTTTATCCTACTGGCACACTTGGACAAATAAAATCATTTCGTTTTATTTATCCATTCGTCATATAACATTTATCTAATACATTACGATAGTGATGTACTATTTAGAAAATCTCTCTGATTTGCAGATTACAAAGAGTATGACAGTTGCGGGGCCAATTTTCTGTGCGACAACAAAAAGTGCATTGATGTGGATCTCAAGTGCGATTCAACGGACCACTGCTTTGACAAGTCAGACGAGGCGGATGGCGGGTCATCAAAATGTGTCGACGACCCTGGAGGTAGGACAATATTTAACTTTGGAAAAACTGTTCAGTATGAGAGCATGCATATATGGCTTGGTAAAAATATAGTATTTTATGGAAGTATGAGAGAGAGAGAGAGAGAGAGAGAGAGAGAAAGGGTGTTAAAGAAATTATTGAAGCAGATGTCTTGATATGCCTTAGGGGGCCTTAGGGGAGGAAATACAAGTAATTAGTCAGAATAATATTTTCATAGCTACTGGAAAAATCAGACATTAGAAATTATATAATAAGGTAATCAAATTGTTACAGTGACAGCTTCCTTTTGGGTCAATGGTGAAAGTGACTTTATTTGAGAATTCCCCATATGCTTCCACAATGGTTGTATTGACTGAGCACAGAGCACTTTACAAAGCCGCTGATTATTAGACAGTCTGTGAGGAGATAGATGCCCAGTTATTATAATCATGGAAGTTCGTCTCATAATTTCTAAATTGAAAGAGTGCAGCACTTACGGGATATGCCCCATATGTTGCCATATTGTGATAATTGGCCTGAAACTTGAAGGCAGTTTGCTGAATTTCTGTAAAAAGTGAAAGAAAATTGAAAACATCTACATGTTATGACAAATACTAAATTAGTGTAAACTAGATCCAGTAAACCCCAAAATGACATACATGTATACTAAACAACAAGTTGATGTATGCCAAAGTTCCTTAGTCTAAATGTGTAGGCATAAGGGAGAAGCATTTGTGCTAGTACTAAACAAATATATGAATAAATAGATAAAAATGAACATTGAAAGATATTTATGATCTTTATTTATCACAGCAGATTTTGCCCCCCCTCCCCCCCCCCCTCAATGATGCAAATGCATTTTTACCAGTTAAATATATAGCTATAAATGTAATATGTATACAAGGAAATGTATGGTTTTATGATGTATCTTGTAAACATTGCATTTAGAGGTAAGCTTGAACATGGTGTAGGATGTGCAGTACATTGTCTCATCCCTGAAGGCAGTTGATGCCTGGATAACTGGGTTTTGATTGTTGGCCTTCTTCCTTTTGCCAAGGGTGGAAAAAGAACGTGCCATATGCTTCTCGACCTAATGGAGCACAAGATATTTTTGTCACAGCATGAAATACAGGCTTGTGGCCAGCAATTTTGAAGGATGGGCTGGGGGGGGGGGTCTTTTTCTGAAAAAAAGTGGACCTTTTTACCCCTTTCATTCAATGTGAAATCATGTAAAACCTGGAATAAATATTTGATTCAAAGTGAACCTATTCCTTCTTTCGAACCCCAAACCTTTTGTCTTCTACAAGCCTCTGACAAGCCTCTCTCTCTCTCTCTCTCTCTCTCTCTCTCTCTCTCTCTCTCTCTCTCACGCACACACACTTTTGTTTGTATCAGAAACATGCAGTGAATTCTTCACTTATACTTTCATTTACTTATATTTTAGGTGACATAATACATAATATCATATATTGCATTTGGCACTAAGTAGAAAATAATTTGGCGGCTATTGGATATACTGAGGAAGTGTACACAGTATATTTGGAGACTGTCTGTGTTGCTCTAGGCCTTTTCCTTTGGGGGGAGGGGGGCATGAGTGACATGGGACAAATATATTTGCAATGTCATAAGTAAAAAAATCAATATCTAACTCAAAGAGTATGTAGTCCATGCAAATAAAAGTGTATAGAATGCTACTGATGCCCAAGAATGGCTAATTTCCATCAGTATAATTTGTTTCTTTACTTAATAGCTGACCCAATCTAAACCTAATTAAAATTAGGCTGCCCAGTGTACAGGTGTCCTTAAACTGAAGACTGTATAGCAAAAGTAAGCAGCTCAAAGATAAGAATATACTGTACTAAAAGTATATTTGGCCAAAATGATGTGCATTTCCATATTCCAATAATGGTTT